GGATAATGGCGCTGGGAATCCTCACACCTCCATGAGCAGGAAGCAGAGACTGGAGCGTTGGCTCTCATCTGGCTGTCTCCTTTTCCCTCTCTTCCATCTGCATCCCCAGCCCATGGCAGGGTGCCACCCACATTGGGGTAGATCTTCCTTCCCCAGTTCACCCTCCAAGACACACCCAGATTGCATCTCATGGAAGATTCTAAATTCAGGTAAGTTTACAATGAAGATTAAGCATCATAGCTACATGGTGAGTTCCAAGCAAACCTGGGATGCAATGTGAGACTCTGTATCAAAACAGACAGACAGACAGACAGACAGACAGACAGACTAAATCAGTGATTTCTATTCATGTTATTCCTTTCTGAACAAGCTAAATGAATAATGGATCTGGGAAGAGATCCAAGTATCTCGGAACAAATTTGAGGTCAATGGTGTGACTTTAAGAACAGCAAACTGGATGAAGAAGGGCCCTAAAGGGGCATTTAATTTTTTTTTCCTTTGGCCTGAGAAAGTAAGGAAGGACATGTATCACCAGCCGGGAGATGTCCTTGTGACAGATACATATTGTTTTCTCCGCCATGGATACAGCGTCAGGTGGAAGACTTAGGAAACTGTTGACATAAAGTCTGAACTGTGATCTGAAAATTCTTTAGAACGGTTTCTTTCTTTAGGTGCAAATAACAGAATCCAAATTGTTATTTAAATGTAGGGAATTTTACATATATTAAAGTACATTTTACTTGAAGCCAAGAACCAAGCTTGAGGCTCCACAGCAGGAACGCAACCCACCAGTCTATCAGCACTAGGTCCCACACAGGATCCAATGGGCACAGGGCCCACTGCTCACACCACTGACACCCAGTGCTGCTCACTGTGGCTGGGACAGCTTCCCTGCTGCTCCTGGAAACTGGATGTGGCAATGTCACCTGGACAAGATGCATTCTATGGAGGTCCAGCTTTTCCTTCTCTCCATGTGCTGAGTGAAGGTCCAGCATGTGGTCATCCAGCTGGTGGAGCTGAGGACTCATGCTGTGCCCAGCTGCAGGGATGTTTGGAGAAATGATGGAGATTTGCTTCTCTCTCTCTCTCTGTCTCTGTCTCTCTCTGTCTCTCTCTCTCCCCTTCCCTCCTTCCTTCCCTCCCTCTCTCTCTCTCCCTTCTTCTCTCTCTCCTAAAGTGTAAGAGTTTAAATATTGGGTGGGAAAAAGAATCATGAAAATTTTATATATATATATTTCTTGGGTGCCATGTGATAAAGTTTTTAAATAATTCCCATAGTGATGCAATTTAAGGAAACTTCCAGAAGTGTGTCTGTCAACCTGCATCAGGGTCAGGAAAAATAGCCAAAGGTCATGTGTAGAAAGATGACCAAGTGCTGTCCCATAGTCCTGTATCCAACTGGCCCCTTGTCTGACCTGTGTCTGCTAAGATCATGTCCATACCACCAGAACCATCAGTGTGAAATATTTGTCCCTCATCTTCACATGTGCTTTACAAAAGTCTGGAAACAAAGTCCTAGATTGAGTAAGCATGCCAGTGTGGATGTGGGAGATGGGCACGTTTCCACCTATGACTTCAACACTATAGTGGGAAAACCCTCAGACCCTACCCCTTCCCTACTTCCACTCCTCTTCCTCCTCATCGCAATGGCAGTCACAACTCCAGTGACCAAAGCTCCAAGAAGAATCAAGCCAACAGCAATTCCACTGATGGTGATGGTGGTCCGAGGAGATGCCTCTGAGACAAGAGAGGAGAGAGGAGAGAGGAGAGAGAAGAGATGAGGTGCCTTGGCCCCCAGCTCTCAGCCCTGACCCTGCTCAGGGTCTCCAGAAGGCTCCTGCTTTCCCTGACAGCAGGCTCTGTGCCCACACCCCTCCTTACCCCATCTCAGGGTGAGGGGCTCAGGCAGCCCCTCATGCTGCACATGGCATGTGTATCTCTGCTCCTCTCCAGAAGGCACCAGCACAGCTGCCCACTTCTGGAAGGTTCCATCCCCTGCAGGCCTGGTCTCCACAAGCTCCATGTCCTGGGTCAGGTCCTCCCCATCCCTCTGCCAGGTCAGGGTGATGTCAGCAGGGTAGAAGCCCAGGGCCCAGCACCTCAGGGCGACATCACCTTCATGTCTGGGGTCATGGGTCAAATATGCCTTTGGTGGATCTGAGGTTAACAGTGGAAAAGTTATGGATTCTGCCTTCTTCCTAGAGAGCCATCAGAATTGGTGTGAGAGAAGGACTGAGACTCAACACCAAAGCATAAATTGAGGCTTCTTGGATAATTTATTTTTGGAAAGTTCTAGACTCATGTTGAGCCAGCCCCAGGTTTACCACCAGGAAAAACACACTTCTGGTCCTGACTAGGTGAAGACTGAGAGACTCAGCATCATGGGATTCAGACCTCCAAAGACACTAGGTGTAGGCAGAGAACCAGGCCTGAGAGAGGCCATGGTTCACAGTGGGCTGCAGATGGAAGGGAACTGCTGGCTGGTTATTTCAGGATCTTCTTTAAAAAAAATTTTTTAAAAACCCCACCTGAAGCAGGCTGGAAAGGAGACTCCAGGTCTTCCTGGAAAACAGGTTTTACCACCCACCAAATGGGCTTTGGGTCCTCACTTGGTGGGGCTCAGAGTCTCAGTACCTCCGGAGCTGTCTAAAGACATTGACTGTGGACAGAGAACCTTGTCAGGGTTCACACTGGGCTGCAGATGGACGGGAACTGCTGGTTGGTTATTTCAGGATCTTCTCTCCTATCCTGAGACTCTGAACTGTCCTAGAGAAGGGTGAGCCCTGGAGTCACTCTCTGATGCTGGATCAGGAAACTCCAGTCCAGTCTTCTCCTTCTAGATGAGAGAGAGGCAGAATTCTAGCTAATCCCATTTTCTTCCCCCTTCCAGCAACAGGCCCCTAGATCAAGAGCAGATGGAGGAGTTGCCCAACTCTCTCTCTTACCTGAGCGCTGAAGTCTCTCTTTTCCTATGTCCAGGTATCTGAGAAGCCACTCCACACACTCCTGCTCCAAATAGGCCCTCCTGTGCTCTGCCAGACCACCAGCCTCCCACTTGAGCCGGGTGATCTCAGCCGCAGAGTCCGCTGCAGTCCAGGAGCTCAGGTCCTCATTCAGGGAGATGTAATCCTGGCCGTCATAGGCGTGGTACTCAAAGGCCCTGATGAGCTGTCCCTCTGTTCCCACCTTGCAAGCAGTGGTGCACTGGAAAGTGTGAGAGTCTGCCAGGCCACCATAGGTCAGCATCACACACAGGGGCCCAGCCCACCCTGTGCACCGCCCACAGGGCCCTGCAGTGCTGTCCTCTGCATGCCCTTCCACCTATTCTAGCAGCACCAGCTGGTCCGTGTCCCCCTGACGCTTCTGATTGGAAGATCTGTGCTGGCCTAAACTGAGGACTCAGAGTCACTAGCCGGTCCAGGGGGAGGGGGTCGCTCACCGTCCTCGCTCTGGTTGTAGACCTGGATTGCATTATGCAGGTAAATGCCAGCCAACTGTGTGATATGTTTGGCGTCCAGTGTCAGCTCCTCCCAATACTCAGGTCCCATCTGGTGAATCCATGGTGCCCGCGGCTCCATCCTTGGATTATCCGCATCGCTGTTGAAACACATTAACTGTGTGTCGTCCACATAGCCGACGCTAATAAAAACGGGCTCCCCGAGGCCAGGCCGAGACACAACAGTGTGGAAATACTGCAGCCTGTGTGAACCTGGAAACGGTGCATGGTGAGACCCTGCCTTCCTCCTCTGCATCCTGGTCCGGGTTGCACCCGTCTTGGGGGCAGGGAGTCTGAGGTGCAGGATGGAGAAGGTTGCCCAGCTGGGGGAACAGGGAGGGTCTGGGCCTGCAAGGGCAGAGAGGGGGCTTCCCTGTGCTGTGGCTCAACCCATCAGGGCTGTGCCCTGGCTCTTCCCCACAGAGGCCTTTTCCAAAGCCTCTCACTCACCAGCCTGAGCCTGGGTCACAGCCGGGGCTCCCAAGAGCAAACAAAGGAGGGCACAGAGCAACCAGGTCCACATCTTCAGTGTTTGGAAGCCCTGAAGAGACTGAGTCCTAGTTCCTCTCTTTGGAATTCATGCCATTGCTGGGGGTGGGGGGAGATACCACAGTGGCTCTGATTGGCTTCCTCTGGGATTTGAACATGCAGTGAGAACATGTGAATCCTGATGTTAGAAACAAATAGCTCACACAGGATGTGAGCTGGGGAAATGAAACACAGGGTGGATGAAGAACGCCCACCCCAAGGTTTCATCATCCCAGAAACCACCCTGGGAGTCCTGGCCCACTTCCTCCTGCACTTAGTGCCCACAAAGTCACCCAGGAGCTGTGGGAGGCAGAAATTCTCAACAGTTCAGATTCAGGATTTCTGTTTGGGCCTACAAGTTATTGAGAACCTCAAGATTTTTTTTGTAGGTTACGGGTATCAGCATTCACCACTCTAAAAACTAAAGCAAGGGCCTACGAGATCCTTGCAGGGTTAAAGGCCTTCAGGCTAACTCGTGGGTTAAAGATAGCCAGTGCTTTGGACTCACGTTCAATCCCTGGGACCACATGATGGAAAGAGATCTAACTCTGGAGCTGTCTTCTGACCTCCACCTGTGCACTGTGGTATGATTGGTTACTGGCTAGGGCACATATAGTCACATGAGATAAATAAATAAAAATGTAATTAAACTTAAAAACTAAAACATAACCCCACATGGTGAGCTATGCCTGCAACCAAACCCTTTGAGAAGTACAAGCAGAAGTTCCTCAATTTTGAGAACAGCTTGGAGTAGAATACCAGGACTCAAAACACACATTAAAAACTAGCATAGTTTTCAGGCCCAGCAGGGTGGCACATTCCTGTAATTCCACCAGTTGGGTGGTGGAGGCAGGTGGATCAATTCAAGGTCATTCTCAACTGCACTGGGAATCTTTATCCTGAAATAAACGTTGGTGAACAGTACAATAACTAATAACTCTGGTTATACTTTGTTTCCATGCCCTTGATTCATTTTAAGGTACTCACTGTCAAATACAGTTCAGTAAATATGGCAAGAGAATTCTAGAAATATGAAAATAGTTATGATCTCATAGATGCCTGAAATGTATCTAAGTGACTTCAAGAGTTGCACAGAGCGTCCTTCAAGATCCGATGCTATTCAGAGTTGGATAAGGCGGCGCACAGCCGTGTTTCCAGCACTGGGGAGGCTGAGGCAGGAGGATGGCTATGAGTTGACGAACAGTCTGGGCAGCACAGGAGCTTATGCGCCCTTTTGCATGTGGAGAGAGGAGGAGAGTGCAGAATGCCAATTCCTAAGAATGATACATGACTTTTTAGAGGTCAGTGGGATTGGAGAGCACACCATGGCCTGGGACAAAGCCTGTCAGGCCCCCAGAACAGACTGCTTTGTAAACGGTTTGAAAACGACTCTGGAGCATTGAGATGGACTGAAGTAGATGATGACAGTATGTGGTGAAAGTCTGTTCAGGATGTTGACAGGCTTCCTGCCATAGGAGACAGTTAATGAAACAGAGGGAGGGGACCGGAGGAACTGCCTTCTGCTGTGGTGGCTCAGAATTAGGCAGGTCAGGGAAGAGCTGATTGCTTTACTTTAATCAGCATTCTAGACAGTATTTTGGGGTGGTGGACTCTCACTTTGCCTGGACTCTCACTTCCCCTATCCGATGCTTCACACACTAGAAGGCCAGTTGGCAGCTGGGGAGAGAAACATCAGGTCAGTGACCAAATGGCAAGAAATCTTCAAAGAGAGAAAAGAACATACATTGAGGTTAGGATGGACAAACAGGTGCTGGAGAGACGGCTCTGTGGTTAAGAGTACTTGATGCTCTTGCAGTAGAGTTCAGTGACCCATTCCTCAGAACAAGTTAGGAATAGTCTCACTTCATTTCCTCAGGGTCCAGTCTAGCCTGACCTATAAGCAGGGGATCACTAGTGACCTGTGAAGGAAAAGGCTTGGAGGAGTGATTTAAAGTTTCCTCTTACTAGGCATGGTGGCCCATGCCTTCAACCCCAGTTCTAAGGAGGCAGAGTCAAGAGGATCTCTGTGATTTCCAGACCAGCCTCATCCACAGAGAGTTCCAGGCCAGCAAGACCTACACAGCAAGACTGTCTTACAGGAGTCGGGCTTTGATGGGGAGGGAAATTAATGGTAGTCAAGTTTCCTGATCTGTGATCTCGAGAAAATGGCATATACCTCTTGTTTGGTGAATGGAATATCAGCTGAAGTTAAAAGTCTGTGGAATTTCCAAACTATGCCAGCAGGTTGGCAGACTCCAAGAGTGTATTTGGAGTCAGTTTGGTAGAGTCCACATTTCCTTTTGCCTAGATATAATCTCTGGAAATGGCAACACACTGAGTACCCTGGGATGCCTTCATAGAGGGCATATGTGCCTCGAGGGCTTCATGGGGTGTGATGGCTAATCCTGGGTGTCAACTTGATTTGATCTGAGATTAACTGAAATGAAAGAGATCTTCTTGATTGGATCATCTAAAGCTAGAAGACACACCCTAAATGTGGGTGTTACCTTCTGATGGCAGCCGGTATAAAAGACCAAGGCAGAGGAGAATGCGGGGCTTTTTGCAGCTTGCCTTCTCTCTCGCTGGTGAGTTTGTCTTGCTGCTGTAGACTGAAGACTAGCTGATATTTTGGAATTTGTCAGACCTTCAGCACCGGATTGGGACTACTGAGACATCCAGCCTTGTGGACTGAGCATTTTTTGGACTGAGCGACTACAGATTCTCAGCCTCTCCAGTGTGGTGCAGCCATTGTTGGACTACTCGGACTCTCTCTTGTGAGCTAAGCTGATAAATCTCTATACATATTCATTCTACTGGTTCTGTTTCTTTGGAGAACCCTGACTAATACATGGGGTAACTGTGGCAGAGTCAGTTATTATCTGTCTTCTGAAATTCCTTTCCAAGATCCAACAACATAGAGGAAAAAATAGTGCTGTTAACCTAAAGGGCAACAAAGAGATTCTTTTATTACTATAAAGCCACACCTAGAGATTTGAGGCAATCATGGAATGAGCAGGGACCTTCATCTGTGACGGGGGCGGGTAGACATATAGCCAATGTAAAATGCAACAGGATGATGACTCGCGGCTCCATCCTCGGATTCTCCACATCACGTCGCTGTTGAAGCTGGAGAACTGCGTGTCGTCCATGTAGTCAAGGAGAACGAACCTGGATTCCCAGAGGCCCAGCTGGTACCTCACATTGCCAAAATACCTCAGAGAGTGTGAGCCTGGGAGCAGCATGCAGTTGAGACCTGGAGACCATCCTCCCAGGACCCCAGGACTGGGCGTGGCAGACACTCTAAAGTTTCGGTTTCTGGATCTCAGTGTGCACTTACGAATAATAAAGGACCTCAAAGATTGTTAAAGACTTATTTTTATCACAAGTGCCTGTTGCCCATGGAAGCCAGAAGAAGCATCAGATTAGTTGAAACTGGAGTTTTGTATGAATGGTTGTTATATACGAACCACCATGTACATACTGGGAACTCAACCCAGGTCCTCTGCAAGAGCAGCTAGTGCATTTAACCATCTTCCCAACCCCTCAAAAAGTTTTAAAAATTTAGTACAATTTGTTTACCATTATTTATGTATTGAGAGAGAGAGAGAGAGAGAGAAAGAGAGGACATGTGTGTAAGTCAGTGAGCCAGTTCTCTCCATCTACCATGTGACTTGTGACTTCGGGGAACTGAACACAGGTTGCTAGACTTGGCAGCAAGCACCTTTACATGCTGAGCCTTTTTACTGACTTTCAGAGCATTTTTGTGTAGATTACATCTACCGATATTTACCATGTTAAAAACTGAAACGTTAGAGTATGTGATCGTCCACACCTGCAATCCCAAGCACTAAAGTGGGGCTTGGTGCTCATGGTTTATTTCCACCACTCCAGAGGCTGAGGCAGGAAGGTTTCCAGGACCGGAGGAGTAGCCTGGCGTATGTAAAACTTCTGTACCCTGTTCTGTGTGGGAAAAGAAGAATGCAGGACGCCAGGGGATGGTGAAAGATTTCTACAGGAAATCCATGGACTTGGAGACAGTTTGGTCCAGAAAAGAGACTGGTTTGTAAATGGTTGAAAATTATTTTCCTTGGAGCATTGAATGGGGCTGAGGTTGATGAAGATGGTGTGTGGCAAAAGTTTGTCCAGGATGCTGACAGGCTTCCTGCCAAGGCAGTTAATGAAACAGAGGGAGGGGACTGTTTTGTGCTTTGATAGTTCAGGACATTAGCTGGATTAGGGGACAGCAGAATAAAGCCCCTGTCCAGCATCTGCTGCTGACTTCCTTTACTAAGTAATCAGCATGCCAGGCTGCCATACTCTGGAGGGACAGTCCCTAAACTCTATCATTTTTCCTTTCTGAAATTTCTCTAGAAGTTTCACACACAAGTTAGTGGCCAAGGAAAGAAGAATCTGTTCAGTAATCAAATGGTAATAAATCTTCAAAGAGAAAGAGAACATAACTTAGAATGAGAATAAGAACAGATTTAAACAAATTTCTCTATGTCCTATTAAACCAAAATCCCATTGCTAAAATGTTAGTCATGAATGGTTTAGCCTCATTTGTAGAATGAAAATATATCTCGGGTTATAAAAAAAATAAATTTAAATCCTGATATGATGACACACATCTGAAATTCCAGGACTTGAAAGGTGAGGTCAGCCTGAATGGTGTACATGGGTGGTGTGTGTTAGCAGAGGGGCTTGAGGGATATAAGTGAATGACCCACAAAGAGAAAGGCTCAAGAGGAGTTCTTAGAGGCTGGAGAGATTGTTTAGTGGTTAAGAGCACTTGCTGCTCTTCCAGAGGACTGGATTTGGGTTCTCAGCATGCACATCAGGCAGTTTACAACCTCTAACTTCAGTTCCAAGGAATATGATGACCCCTTCTGGCCCCCAAGAGCACCTGCACTCATGTGCATATATCTATACGCACATATATATACACACATACACATGTTTAAAATAGTTTTTAAAAAGGCGTGTTTAAAGTCTTCC